TGAAGTTTGTGTGTTTGTGCGTCTGTGTGTGTTTGCATATCGGTGTGTATGTGTGTGTAATTGTTTTTTATTTGTATGTGTGCGTTTGTGTTTGTCAGTTTATTTGTGTGTGTGTGAGTTTGTGTATACGTGTTTGTGTGTGTCAATGTGCGTTATACGTGTGTGTGTGTGTGTTTGTGTATACGTGTTTGTGTGTGTCAGTTTGTTTATGTGTGTGCGTTTGTGTATACGTGTTTGTGTGTGTCAGTCGTTCGTGTTTGTGTGTGTCAGTTTGTTTGTGTGTGTGCGTTTGTGTTTACGTGTTTGTGTGTGTGCGTTTGTGTATACGTGTTTGTGTGTGTCAGTGTGTGTGTGCGTTTGTGTATTGTTTGTGTGTGTGTTTGCGTTTGTGTGTGTTTTGTGTGTGCGTTTGTGTATACATGTTTGTGTGTGTGCGTTCGTGTATACGTGTTTGTGTGTGTCAGTTTATTTGTGCGTCTGTGCATGCATTTAAGTCCACTTGTTGGTTTTCTCGGATATGTGAATAATCGACTTTAAAATGGTGTGCGTGTATGTAGACATGAATAGATAAAATTGTGTTTTCTGTGCGTCTTTGTAAATAAACACGCACACACTTGTGTTTCAGTAGGCAAAGAGATAAGTAAGTAGATAGCCATATACTTGTATGTGTGAATTGATCGATGATACGTATGTTGGCGTGTATGTCTGCACATAAATATGTATAAATGTATCATAATACATATATATATATATATATCTTACTTATTCGTAGCTACATACACACGTTCCCTATTACCCTTGATGTTATACATTTACATAAGTGACACAAATCCACTGGCAGAACCGGTCTCAAAGAAAATTTGCATTAAAGAACAAGGAATTTCGGTGCATGGAGTTTCCAACACGCAGACCTGCTACACGCTGTTCATGTGATGTAAAGAACAGGCGTGGGCGGGGAATTTTATTATGTACAGGCAGATCAACTGCGATTACACATGAAGGCCTAGATCTACTAGGACTTGTAAGGGAGGGGGGGAGAGCGTAGGAGTGGCGGAGTCAAGGGTCGGGCACCTGTCATGTCTTCCGAGGCACCTGTCATGTCTTCCGAGGCACCTATCATGTCTTCTGAGGCACCTGCCGAGGCTGGCGAAGCACCTGCCGAGGCTGAGGCACCTGTCGAAGCCGACGAAGTACTTGTCGAGGCTGACGAGGCGCCTGGCATGGCTGACGAGCGGGCGAGCCTAACTGTCGGGCTCGGGGACCCTCCCGAACTCCGCGTTGACGAGGTCGTAGAGCGTCGGGGCCTCGGCGCACGAGTAGGCCACGTCGAGGGAGGCGCAGGTGAGGGTCTCCTGGTTGAACACCGTCTGGTTGCCGCAGATGAAGGAGAAGTGGGCGGTCTGGTAGACGACGCCCTCGTCATCGGAGAGCGGCAGGCACACGTGGTACACCTCGCAGTTATTGTCGACGTCGGCGTAGTAGCCGTAGGAGCGGCCGTCGCAGGTGAAGGAGGTCTGGAGCGGCGCCGAGAGGTACTCCTCCGTCAGGATGGGGAACTCCCAGCCGTTGAGGCCAAAGGCCGCGGCGACCAGCGCGAGGAGGAGGCAGGCGGCGCGATGCATGGCGGTCTGGCGGAGAGAGAGAAGGGCGGGGTGAGGGGGTCGAGCGCCTGGCGTGGGTTTTGGCACTTACGGCTAGGAACCTCACAGTATCACTAACACGCACTCACAGACCTGTGTGTGTGTGTGTGTGTGTGTGTGTGTGTGTGTGTGTGTGTGAGCATATAGTTATATATATAAACAAGAAAAAGAAGCTGAAGTAAGAAACATAGTAGGTACAGCTTCAAGCGACTTCCCTCAGCAAATAGGCAAGGGAAGGCTAACCAAGCTGTTGATTTACTATTCAAATAGGAAACTGACCCAACACCTGTATACCTCAAGAAAATACTCTCCAGCCATTCAAAAACATACCCAGAACGAATGAATTTCCCTTGAAGATATAACATTGCTGTTTAGAGAGATTTACTAACAGTGCATACGAAAATTTTACTCTCTTCCAATGATTAAACTGCATTTTGTATTTCATAAAAAAAAAAAAAAAAAAAAAAATCTGAAAGGCTTCATTAATCTATTCGGATTTGTTATAGAAAGGTCATATTTAAGAGCAAAAGCAGTGACAAAAAGGGATGCCTTTCTTTGCTTGTAGAACATGGGTAAAACGATAATGATAGAATGTGTTATGTTGTGTTGTTCATCAGTAATTCTTGGGAATCTACGAACAAGAGAGAGCGAGAGCAAGAGAGAGAGAGAGAGAGAAAAGAGAGAGAGATAGAGATAGATAGATAGATAGATAGATAGATAGATAGATAGATAGATAGATAGATAGAGAGAGAGAGAAGAGAGAGAGAGAGAGAGAGAGAGAGAGAGGGAGAGAGAGAGGGAGAGCGAGCGAGAGAGAGAGAGAGAGAGAGAGAGAGAGAGAGAGAGAGAGAGAAGAGAGGAGAGAGAGAGAGAGAGAGAGAGAGAGAGAGAGAGAGAGAGAAAAGAAAGAAAGAAAGATAGAAAGAGAAAGAAAAGAGAAGAAAGAAAGAGAGAGAGAGAGAGAGAGAGAGAGAGAGAGAGAAAGAGAAAGAAGAGAGAGAGAGAGAGAGAGAGAGAGAGAGAGAGAGAGAGAGAGAGAGAGAGTCAGATAGATAAATAGATAAATAGATAGAGATTGAGTGAGAATATTCCGCTTTTAGTATTGACTCCACGACCACCGAATGTTTACGAGTGGTTTTATGCGTCAACATAAAATGTCACAACTTAAGGACCGTACAGTTGGAAAATTCACAAAAACAATAAACTAGTAAATCCGATATACTGATAAATACCTAAAATATGTAATAGATAATGAAAAGGAGGTTTTGATTTCTGTTAAATGATTGTTTTAATCGGCGATTCGGTGATTTAAGGGTGATTTCAGAGTGATTTAAGGGCGATTTAAGGGTGATTTCAGAGTGATTTAAGGGCGATTTAAGAGTGTTTTAAGTTGTGCTTGAATATTATATTCCACTGATAATAAACAGATGAGGACGAAACTTCTCGTAGTGGGAATATCGATATAAAAAGCCATAAAAGAGTAAATGAGAATAAGAGAAAGGAACAAGAAAACGCGATTTTGTCGATGTTGGAAAAGTGGGAATGTCGTATAATAAGAATAATAATATAAATGAATAATAGAAATAAGTAAATAGAAGAAGAATCAGAAGAGAAAGAAAAAAAAGGAACAGGCAAGTTTCTAAAAAATATCGTTGTTGTGACGGCGAGATAAATAATTCCTAAAAAATGTCTAATTACATGTGATTAAATTACAATTAAATATCCAATTACACTGTCTTGCAAAGCTTAAATTTTTGTTAAGGATTTTCCATATAAGATCAAACTGTCACTATCGAGTAAACTTTGAAAATACATTAGCACAATGAACACAATTTGTAATTTCTTCTCATCTAATTCCTTCTTTCCTCCTACTTCCTTCTCCTCCTCCTACTACTCCTCTTCACTCTTCCCCCTCCTCCTCCTCTTCCTTCTCTCCACTCTTCCCCTCCTCCTCCTCTTCCTCTTCCTTCTCTTCACTCTTCCCCTCCTCCTCCTCCTTCCTCTTCACTCTTTCCCCTCCACCTCCTCCCTCTTCTTCTCTCACTCTTCCCTCCTCCTCCTCCTCTCCCTTCCTCCTTTCCTTCTCTCCTCTCCCCCTCCATCCCTTCCTCCTCTTTTCTCTCTTCACCTTCCCTCTCTCTCTCCTCCTTCTTCCCCTCCTCTCCTCCTCTCCTTCTCTTCACTCTTCCCCTGCTCCTCCCTCCTCTTCCTTCTCTTCACTCTTTCCTCCTCCTCCTCCTCTTCCTCCTCCTCCTTCTCTTCCTTCTCTTCACTCTTCCCCTCCTCCTCTTCCTCCTATTCTTCTCTTCTTCACATCTTCCCCTCTTCCCTCCTCCTCTTTTCCTCTCTCCTCTTTCCCTTCCTACTCCTGCCTCCTTCACTCTTCCTCCTCCCTCTTCCCCTCTCCCTTTTCCTTTTATATATATACTCTCCTTCCTCCTCCTCCTCCTCCTCCCTCTCTTCCTTCTCTTCATACTCATTCACCTCTCCTCCTCCTTCTTCCATTCTCCTCTTCCTTCTCTCAACTCTCCCCTCCTCCTCCTCCTCCTTACCTATCCTCCCTTCACCCACTTTCCCTCTCCTCCTCCTCCTTCTTCCCCTCCTCCTCCTCCTCTCCTCCCTCTTCAACTCTTCCCCTCCTCCTCCTCCCCTCTCACACTTCCACAACACAACTTCCCATAAAAAACCTCCTTTTTACCATTCCTGGTCTCTCTCTTCTCTAACTCCCACCTCCACGGACAACAGAGACCCGAGAGACCTGTATCCAACTCACCTTCTTGAACCACGAATCGCCGTAATGGGCAAGCCCGTCGTCCCTTATATATCCCCTCGCCCGTCGTCCATTTGTCGTCGAGGTAATCCACTTCATGTCCTGTTAACAGCTGACGTGTGGATATCCTTTGGCAGTACGTTGGTCAGCGGCTCCGTTTCTCTCTCCTCTGGCGGTCGTTGTCGTCTGTTTGTCGGGGGTTCTGTTGCCTGGTTGGCTCTCGTGTCCTTGTCGGTTCCTGGTAATTGGTTTAGGAGTGATTTAAGGGTGATTTAGGGGTGATTTAGGGGTGATTTAGGGGTGATTTATGAGTGATTTAGGGGTGATTTAGGAGTGGGTTGAAGAGTGAATTTAGGAGTGATTTACGGAGTGATTGGGTATTTAGTGATTTAAGAGTGAATTGAGTGATTTATGAGTGATTTATGAGTGACTTAAGGGTGATTTATGAGTGATTTAAGGGTGATTTTATGATTTAAGGGTGATTATGAGTGATTTATGGAGATATTTAGAGTGATTTAAATAGGGTGATTGAATTGATTTTTAAGGAGTGATTTAAGTGAATTTAAGGGTGATTTAGGGTGATTTAGGGG